TTGTGGGGTTTTTTGTTTTGTTTTGCTTTGTTTGTTTGGTTGGTTGGTTTTTCGAGACAGGGTTTCTCTGTGTAGCTTTGGCGCCTCTCCCTCGCTCTGGAGACCAGGCTGGCCTCAAACTCACAGAGATCCGCCTGCCTCTGCCTCCCAAGTGCTGGGATTAAAGGCATGCGCCACCAACACCTGGCCAAAGTTGTGTGTTCTAATTCTTTCAAATATTGTCATTCCCTATGAGCCTAAGGGGGCCATTTTCAGTCAGATCACCACATTCAGCTAGCCATTTGTTCTGGGGGATTCCCCCATTTCTGCCTCCTAAGTTCGTCCAGATCCAGTTCTCACCATTGTCTGGTAAGCAGTCTACCACTGAGCCATCTCCCTAGGCCCCACATTCTGATTTTGATAGACACTGGGCCTAGGAGCCTTCCAAGCAGAGCAGGCCTAGGGCTTCCTTTGGGTATCTGAGATGATAGATCCCTATGGGCCTCTCTCTCTCTCTCTCTCTCTCTCTCTCTCTCTCTCTCTCTCTCTCTGTGTGTGTGTGTGTGTGTGTGTGTGTATGTGTGTATGTGTGTTTCTCTCCTTGGGGAAGCAGGGGCCTGAGCCCTGGCCAAGAGGAGGTTTCCTTTTCCCCTTCCAGAGCCTTCCCCCAACCAAACACACTCACCAAGGGCCAGTTCCTTGTGCTCCACCTGTCTAAGCGCTACTGTCAGGACATGATCCATGCATGGGGAGGGACTTCAGCCACTATGCCCCTGCCCCTGGGCGTCTACCTGAGGCTCTGTGCTCTCAAAATAGAACACGAAACATATGGTACCTGCCTTCCAGGACCTGGGTTGCAGAAGAGTGGCTGTGGCATGAGGCAGGGGGGCTAGCAGGGAAAAGCATGATTTTCTCCAAACCCCTTCTCTAGGAGAGGGGTCTTTCTAGAGAGAGAGTCCCTGAAGGACAGATGTTACCAGAAGGGGTGCAACTGGCACTGTTCAGATAGCTGTGGTCAGACTGTGTTGTGTGACAAAACTTTTCCTGGGGAGATACAACACACACATCTACTCACCCCAGATAGGGATCCCATATAAGACCAAATTATGGGTACCACCAAAGTCCAACTTGGTGAACCAGTGAGTTCTGTTGGATTACTTACAGGAGTGTGGGTGAGAAGTTACTTACAGCAACAGGAATGATACAAAGATAGCTGTGTCATCTAGGTCCACTCAAACATAAGTGACAGCTCACAAAATCCCAGAACCTGGAGCACACTGCACAGCCTGCACGCAGCGCAACAGGTTGGAGAGTGTCCTTTCCAAGGGACTCTGGTCTAAACTGCTTCCAGGCCACTCAGCTGGTTTCTGCTTCTTTCAGGTCTGAGTCTTCTTGGCAGCTCAGCTTTATTTCTGTCTGAGAGCTACATTCAGCTTTTATTGTTCGCTCAGTCTGGCAGGGAGGGGCCTAGTGAATCTGGTCAGTTTCAGGGACTTCCTGGAGCTATTTTGAATTGTTAACCTTCCTCTTTAAGGAGCTTCCTGAGGATGGGATGTCTCTGTCTCAGAGGAAACAGCCACACAACAGACTGAGATGGGCAGGAAAGGAAGTCACAGGAGGTGAACCCCCAGCCCCACTCCTAGCAAGGTCTCCAAATGGCCGTAGTATTTTTCTTCCTTCATAGTATCACCTAGGCTCTGGTTGCACAGGTCTCCCTTTGTGTGTCCTTATCCTCACTGCTGTAACAATGACCAAGGTGGAAGAAGGGTCTGCAGATGTTACGAAGTTCAGATTGTCCTGACCCAAAAAGTGGTATGCTTACACAGGCAGAACAGAGAGACATGGAGACACAGGGACAGTGGTGTGGAGATGGAGGCACAGCATGGAAAAAGATGGGAGGCAGAGAGCGGAGGGAAGGGCACAAAACCAGAAACACCAGAACAGGAAGCTGAGAGATAATCTCTCTTCTGTGCCCTGCACTTCCTCTTTTTCATCCTCTTTTCTCCCTCTCTCCCTCCTTTCTGAGCCAGGGTCTCGCTGCTGCTTTGTCTCTTGAGTATTCATATTGCAGGCATGTGTCACCTCCCAGATGTGGACACTGCTTTTCTTTTATTTTCACATTTTATGTGTTTGTGTGTATAGTGTGCAAGTGCTGCGACATGCAAGGGATATCACAGGACAGCAGGGGCTATCACAGGACATCGGGGGATATCATGGGACAGCAGAGATATCATGAGACAGCAGGGGCTATCACAGGACAGCAGGAGATATCACGGGACAGCAGGGATATCATGGGACAGCAGGGGCTATCACGGGACAGCTTTTGGGTGTCAGCTATCTCCAACCACAGTGGGTTCTAGAGAGCAAAGGGCTCAATGGCCCACACATGGCATTTTGAGCAGACACAGGAGTCACAGTCTAGGCCCAATCTAGAGGAGCTAGCAAGTCCTCTGAAGAATAAGACCATGTGACGGCAGTCTGTGAAGGGACGGCAATCAAATACCTGAGGAAGGACAAGATGGGAGATCCTGGGTTATGTGGATTAGACTGGTTCTTTTGAGTTGGTTTGTGGAGATGCCAGAGGGAGACAGATCTCTAAGACTGACCTCATCCTCCCCATCTTCTCTGGGCCTCCCTCTGTCGCCCGAGGATCCCCAGGTTGTAAAGAAAGCCTAAAATAACATCTAGTCCTGAGGACCTGGGTCTACATTTTCAACTCTGCTACTTATGTCCTGTGACTGTGCGACCTTGGGCAGGTCACTTACCTCTCAGGCTCTCCATCTCCCCAGTATGACACTGCGAATTGAACCCGGTACTCTCCATTTTCTCCTCTGTCTATGCCAGCAGCCCTCTCACTTCTCTTCCCCCCCCCCACTGTGATCTTCCCATGGGTTCACCCTCCCTCTGCCCCTGCTCCACATGATGTTTAAGGATCTGGCTACCTGCCTGCCACTGATGTGTGTGCGGACCTGTGTATATGGGCTTGTACCATGTGCATTGGATCCCTTGGAACTAGAGTAACAGGCAGTTGTGAGCTGCTTGATGTGGATGCTGGGAACTAAACCCAGGTCCTCTGTAAAAGCAGCAAGTGCTCTTAACCCTTGATTCATCTCTCCAGCCCTCCATGTGGTGGAGCAAAGATGGATATGATACCCATGTGCAAGACTGTCATGAATTAAGACATGCTGATGGATTAATCAGCAAGGACCACATTCATTTGGCTTAAGAGCCTGCTTCTCTTTACAAGGTGCACATGCCTGCAGTGGGCAGGACTCAAGGTGGGCACTACGCATCTCTGTTTACCTTGGCTGCTGGTAGGAGTGGGGTGCATGTCCATACTGTAGGCTCTGCAGCTTTGGCAAGGAATACAAACAGGCCTCCCAGAGAATGCTGCCTTCTACCCCCAAAGTCCATACCTACGCCATAATCAAAAGATGGTATCAGAAAACACTTAGGGCTGGCAGTTACTGCCATACAGGCTGGCAGAGTGGGGTATGGGGGAGGGGACACAGCCCTTACTCTCTACTGCTGATAGCCTTGGGAAGACAAAGCAGGGATCTGCATCTCCATCTAGTGGATTCACCCAAGGCTGAGCACAGCGTGGAGCCCATTTCCACTCCCTTGTCAAACTCTAGTTTGCAGAGGATGCTTGCCTGCCTATGTGGCTAAGACACTTTTCCCTTAAGCAATTAGATGTGGGAGTGCTGGGAAGATAGCTCAGTTAGTAAAGTGTTTTCCTTTCAAGCATAAAATCCTGTGCTCCATCCCCACAGTCCATGTGGAGAGAAGATTCAGCAGCAAGAGCACTTTCTGCTCCTTCAGGGGACCAGAGTTCAGTTCCCAGCACCCACATCCAGTGGCTCACAACCACCTATAACCTAGGGGATCCAATACCCAACATCTTTGGTTTGGGTCTCCATGGGCACCTGGACACACAAGGCATACACACAGACACATAAATTTAAAAGAAAAAAAGTCAGGAATTAGTGACTCATGCTTGTAATCCCAACATTGGGAAGCAAAGACAGGTGGCTCCCTGGGGATCACTGGCCAACCAGCATACCTGAATGTACATGAACACATACACACATGCTCGTGCACACACACACACACACACACACACACACACACACACACACACAGAGAGAGAGAGAGAGAGAGAGAGAGAGAGAGAGAGAGAGATCTGAAAAAACAAACCCAGCCACCAAACAATAAAGCAAGGTGCCCAATGTCATGATCAGGGATCTATAAAGGGGGCTGAAGGCAATTTGCTCCAAGGCATCACAATGACTCCATTCAGAAATAGACCTGGAAGGGGAGGCGAGGGGCTTTGCTCAAGGTCAGGGTTGAATGGAGACTAGGGCCCAGGTGTCTGGAGGCCCGATCTCCTGTTGGTCCTAGTGCCCATACCTGCCAGCAAGACTGGGCAGGGAGCAGAAGGGAAGCGACTAGAGGGAGGACCAAGATATCTGTCCACTGCCCACTGGAGCCTTTCAGATTGATCCTGGGGCTTGACTGCCTGCAGAGGGGCGGGAGGAGGAGCAGTGGCTTTGGGCTGTTCTTCTGCACCTGGAGAGCCAGCTTCCAGACTCCTGGAGCCAGGTTTGTCTTCTGTGTCCCTTCTTTCTTATCTCTGTATCTACTAGATGCCAGAGGACCATGCCCAGCACCTTCCAATCTGAGAGCCTGGGACCTGGAACTCAGAACCCTCCAAGAAGAGTAGAGCGTTGCCAAGAACCCACTGTCCTGGTGGACTGATGGCAGGGGTCATAGCCAGGGGCCTCTCAGCAGGGGAGAGGACTCCACAGGGTGGGGCATCACACCCGTTGCTTTCATGTCTTCAGCGAGCTGCACCTACAAGGTGGCCTCTGGGCTCCCAGACCTCAGATCTAAGGGTAGGGATAGTGTGGAGTACCCACCAGAGGGTGCAGGATGCGAGAGAGGGTCGTGTACACTTCAGATTCCAACTAAGGGGCACCTGAGTCTGAAGGACGCGGGTAGCTTTGAAGATGAAGAGGCCCATGGTTCAGGGCTCTAGGCCTGGCGCGGCTGGGGAGCTGGGAGGGAAGCCCATCTCTCGGCTCCTCCCCGGGCCGCCCTGCCCCGCCCCGTGCCGGGACAGCCTGGGCGGGGACCCGCGGCTGGAGGGCGCGCCGTCTGGTGCTCCAGGTGCAGTTCCCATGAGTCTGGGGGCCCGCGGTGGCCCAGGAGGAGTGCCCCGTCTTCAATCTGCCCCTGCCGTGTCTCTACACCCTGTCCACTGGACGCCAGTGAGCCTCAGAACCCAGGTAACAGAGGGCGGGACTCGGCCAATGTTCCCCACGGGTCTCCGCCTCGCGTGCGTCCACCCAGTCCATGCACTCCTTCTCTCTGCTCCAGAGCAGCAGCAGAGCGCGGATGCTGCTTGGAGATGGATCTTGGAAAGTTTGCGCCTGGACGGCGGTGCCTCAGGCGACTGCCAAGGCAGACACTTGTAGCCACGCACCCCGAGTCCACGTGAAAGAGAAGCCTCTGCTCCAGCATCCAGTTTTTCTCTTAATTAGAGCAGCGAAGCAGACACGCTCCCCATTCTGGCTCTCCAAACCTGAAAAAAAAAAAAAAAAATCCTGGGATGGGAACTGACAGTTGGTAATTCTTAAGCCTTAGGGATGTTTATGTCTGTACTTCCCGCCTCCTTCCCCCAGACGCACGCTATGAACCAGTTAGATAGTGTGCATGGAAGGCACAGTTTTGTGCCCAAAGAGGTAGGTCTGCACCCTGATAAGAAGGGTGCCCGGCCACAAGCCACAAGCCACAAGGAGCTGTCTTTTTTACCACTTTCCCTGCCTCATTCTGTTTGGTCAGGCCGGGCCCTCATTGACGCCCATCCAAGCATGCTTAAGCCCAAGTCTGATGAGCCTAGGTCACGAGGGGGGCTGCAGCCTGCAGGTGCAGAACACTGGAGTCCACTAAACCCTTATGGGTATGCACACAATGGGCTTTCTTCCTTCAGTGAGAGAAGGACGCACTGCCTAATGGAGAAAGGAAAGTTTCGCCTTCCCTCAGAGCCAGAGAGAAGAGGTGGGGGCTAGGGGAGGGTGAATACCAAAGTAGCCATCATGACTGACATGGACACCCCTGATACTGATTTTCCCCGGGGACAAACCATGCAGGTGGTAGATGAAGAAAGAAGACCCCGAAAGGCTAAGCATTTGGCCCAAGCACTGTGGTGGGCCTCAACCACCGCCTCTGAGACCAGGTGCTTCTGCGTTTTAGGAGATTACTACATTGTTTATTACAGTGTGTGTGTGGGGGGGGGTGCTTATGGAAATCAGAAGACAACTTGCAGGATAGGTTCTCGTCCTCCACCATGTGGGACCTGGGGATTGAACTCAGGTTTGTCAGGCTTGGTCGTAAGCGCCTTTACCCACCAGCTGAGCCATTTTGCTGCTGTTTCTGCATTCTGGTTGTGACCAGCAGGGGCCTGTTTCTCCTTGGGCTCCTCTGCAGTTCAGGAGTGCCCAAGGCAAGGGCACCTCCAAATAGAACTCAAATCCCCTTAGGAAACACTGCCAAGACCCATCCAACCCCCTGTTAAGCTCCCGGACAGCAGGAGGCAGGACCTGCGTTCCCTTCTGTAGCCATAGTGCTTGGCATGGGGAAGAAACTTGGCCAGAACGTCGTGAGTTAACCAGAAACAGCTGAGTTCTTTTCCAGCAGGCAGGTCTTTGCCCTTGAAGAGCAGCAAGGACATGGAAATGCAGGACCAGGAAACTGCAGACACACTTCCAGACGCCTTCACACACTGCCCCTATGCGGGACAACTTCTTTCTTAATTCAGCAAATAAAACCGTTATCGCTAGTCCCATTTCTTGTAGTGGCAAAGAAAGACAGTGTGCTGGGTGAAGTGGACAGCCAGTGTATCCCTCTCCTGAGCTGCAGCATGAGAGACTTCATCCCACATAGTGGAATTTTACCCCACTCCTCAGGAGGTCTCATTTGGAAACATTATTTGTCATTGCCTTTTCTTTTTTTAAAAACTCTTTTTAAAAGTTTATTTTATGTGCATTGGTGTTTTGCCTGCATGTATGTCTGTGTGAAGGTGTTGGGTCCCCTGGAACTGGAGTTACAGACAGTTGTGAGCTGCCATGTGGATGCTGGGAATTGAACCTGGGTCCTCTGGAAGAAGAGTCAGTGCTCTTAACCACTGAGCCACCTCTCTAGCTCTCTCTAGCCCTGTCATTGCCTTTTCTTGATTCTTAACACCCTGCAGTGTTGCCAGGGATTGGGAAAGGAATTCACTTTTCTTGCCTCAGTTTCCTTTGGTGAAAAATAAGGTTTTATGAGCAAGTGGATGTGCCTCCAAAGTCATCTGTAGGCTGCAGAGCAAATCCAACAGGTGGTGTGTGTGCATGCGTGCGTGCGTGTTTTAATCTGGCTTCTCTAGGTAGGCTTTATGGTTCCCTTGAGCAGTAACTGTGCATCCTGGTGTTCCCCAGAGAGCAAGCCCCATCAGAAGCATGGAACATACAGTAGCTTTGCAAGAAGTATTCACTGATCAGAATTAATCTCTACAAGAAGGAAAATTCCCATAATTCATGAGACCTGGAAAGCCTTGAATCCCTCTCCCCCTTCTTCCCTGTGTAAGGAGACGTGACACTCTGCCATAGAGATAAGGGCCAGGAGAGAGAGAAGAGCTTGACGGGCTCCCAGAACCCAGACAAGGACCTTCAGCCTAGCTGCCCCCAGAGTCACCTAGAGAGATCTCTCGATGAGCTGATGGACACTGCAAGGGACAGTGGAAGAGTCCCAATGAGGAGCAATCCCAGCTTCCTAAGGAGGGGTGGAGGCAAAGATGAGCTGGGCTGAGTGGCCAGTCTGGGCTGGCTGGAGGGGAGGGGGAACTCAGAGGTTCCCCTGGGAATGTAGGAGGAGAGCAGGGGGGGGGGGGGGGGGCCACCCGAGGGGGCCCCTGGGGAAGGGGGGGGGGGGGGCAGGGCTGGCATGCACACCCTCATATAGAAAGCAGTTTTTCTGCCCGACCCTGATACACCCTGATAGCACCACTGGGAGCTTTGGCTTTTTGCCCCAGCCCTGCCTTTGACCCCAAACAGCTCAGTTCACTGTTAGCACTGGAATGCACCTGCCGAACCTTGGAGTAGGGGCAGGGAGTATAGAAGCCCAGCCTTAAAGAATGTGTAATTTCCCAGCTTGTTGGGGTAGTTGGGGAGGAGGAATGGGCCTGTCAAGGAAGTGTCAAAAGATTTCACCTGAATAAGTCAGGGTGGGGCTTCTCCTATCTCTGAGGCCATTGTAGACCTCCCCATCCCTCTGGGTCCCCTTCTTTTGGAGAGAGTAAGGCCATGGCTTAGACCCGGTTTTCTGTCCCTTTGCACGTTGGTTTTCTCCTACCAGTTTGATGGCTTTCCACCACAGAGGATGGAAAAGTACGCCTGTTGCAACACTTCATGAGTCAGTGTTCACTCTGCTGTCCAGTGTCTGGACTGTCTGGACCTCACTTGGAGACAGTGTTGAATCTTTGGAGACAGGGATAAGGAAGACCCTGGAGATAGTTATGAGATTGTGTAAGCTGGCAATGAGGAGCCATCACATTCGAAGATATAATTGTTTCTTGCACTCGGAGGAAAGGATGATGTTCCCCAAAGTGGTAGCCCAGTTTCATCCTCATCTCTGATTTGTTCACTAAGCTGGATTTTAGCCTGTAGTATTCTCCTGCCTTCCAACCTTGACCAGGCCAGTATCACCTGCAGCAGACTCTGGATTGTGGGACCTGAGGAAGGAAAGTTGCCTGAACTTCAGGCATGGCATTTTGCCCCTTAGGGTCACCCCCCTTCGGTTAATTAGTAGCTTTGTAGTCAAGGTGGCCAGTGCAACTTGCAGAATTCACTGGGAGCCTGTCAGAGATACGGAGTCCAACCATACAACCTCTAGATCCCAGAGCTCAGAATCCAGCTGCTCTAGGAGCCTACCACTGGCCTCAGCTACATTCCCAACAGCTGAAGGCCAATGTGGCTGGCAGATAGCCACCTCAGGTTCTGGTTCTAACATTGTCCAGCTGGCAGTGTGACATTGGACCTATCTCTTTCTGAGCCTCAGTTTCCTTATCTGTGAGAGTACCCTGGATTTTATAAAGGTATCTTACCTTTAGCACCATTGCCATTTGGTGGCAGAGAGAAGGGAGCTGTCTTGTGCTGTATTACCCTTAGCCTCTATACAACAGTACTGCCACACCACATCATCTCTGAGTTGTGTGTGTGTGTGTGTGTGTGTGTGTGTGTGTGTGTGTGTAGGCATTACCCATAGAGACCAGAATAGGGTCTCTATGTAGGTGCTGAAAACCAAACCTAGGTACTCTGGAAGAGTAGCCAGTACTCTATCTCCCTTCACTGGCTTCAGACTCAACAGAGATTTGCCTGCATCTGTTGAGATTAAAGATGTGTAGCATTATGCTGGGCTTCTGAGTCCTTTCTGACATCTGAGAGTTCCTCTGGACATCACCAGATATGCCCTGGGGCAGCATCACCTCTGGTTGAGAAGGGCTGCATGAGGTCTCTGAAGACCTCCCCTCCCCCAGGATGTCTCTTGGTACAAAAGGGCTTCCAGCTGGTTCAATGAGTTTGCCCTATGCATGAATGAGGAGTGAGTGGAACAGGTCAGAAGGGAAGGGAAGACTGCTGGACCTCATGCTGAGAGCCAAGGCTAAGCTCTTTGTGCCTCTAGATCTTGAGTTACCCAAGGAGGGGTTAGGAGGCATGGATATGGTCAGCAACCTTCCAGTACTGGGCAGCACAGTAATGACTCCTGTGTCCCTGCTCCACATTGCCCCCTCTCCTTGCCCTGGGAAGGGATGCAGGAAGTGAATCAGCTCAGCAACCACAGGAGAGAGGGCTGGGTGCCCTTTGAGATGCATGCTCACGCCTCAACCAACCTACCCTGGCTGTGTTTTGATTATTCCTTCCATGTTAGCTGTTTATTAACTCTGTCCACGGAATCCCCTTCTGACCTTGTTGCTTAACGGAAGGGCAGAAGATTTATTTTGGCGGGGTTAGGCTTGGGTGCTGCGGCTGTTGACGAATCTTGGAAGTAAATTGCTTTGGGTTATTCATTCTTACAGTCTTCAAGAAGAAACTTGGCTCTGGGCTGTGGGCTAGATACTGGGAAGGATCCTTGGAGTTAGACAAATCCCCAGGCTGCACCCCTAATTCAAGGTGTCTGTTAATGCCCTGCCCAAGTGTACAGAGGAGGGCGTGGCAAGCCGTGAGGTCCTGTGTACTGGGGGAACTCTGCAGGAGTGAGTTTCCTTAGGGAGGAGATGGTGACAGTGTCAGAAACTTCACAAGAGGGAGGGGTTTGTTGGGGGTGGTTTTGTTGTTTGTCTCTTTGTTATTGTAGTAAAACATATAGAATATAGCTTTCTCATTTTGACATGGGCCATGCACACCTGTGGCAGCTGGAGGCTATCCTTAGTTATTATTCTTCGGGCACTATATACCTTTTTGAGATATGCCTTCTCACTTTTATCTAGAACTAACCAAGTAAGCCAGGCCCACTAACACTGAGATTACAGGTGTGGGCCATCATATCTGCCTTTTTTATTTACATGGGTTCTGGGTATTAACCTCAGTCCCTCATGCCCTCAAGGCAAGCACCTTACCGGCTAAGCAATTCCCCGTGCCCCATTTTGAGAATATTGAAAGATACAATTCATTGTCACTAAGCACATTCACATTATTCTGCGGCTGTCACCATCATCCAGCACCACAACTTCATCATTTACCAGCTAAAACTTTGCACCCAATAAAACCAACTTCCCACTGTCCAGCCCCTCTGCAACTACCCCCTCTGCTTCGGGTCTCTGTGACTGACAGCTAAGGATACCTATGTCATCAAGCACTGTGTATCTCTTTTCTCTGGAAATAGAATACAATACCACAATAACCTACATTTTAATGAAAAAAAAAA